AAAGTTATGCAGAATTCACTTGCAGTCAACTTGTCGAATGTACAGTACAATAAGTAGCTGTATTTATTTCTCATTTACTCAGTTTATATGTAATTTTATGTAATTTTTCTTTCTTTCCTTACGGGAACAAAGATAAGCAAGCAGACTTCGTGTGTGATTATGTGATTCGAGACTTCAAATTTGAAGTCATGTCCTGAATTACGCACTGTTTACCTTTTTTAAAATAAACTAAATTGCTGTACAGCCAAGCATTTTCAAGCTAGGTTTCTTCTTCTGGAAGCTTTGTCGTTTTCCTTCCCTACTGCTTTCACATTCTCTCTCAAAAAACGCACTTTTCCAATTGTGAGGCGTCTGAATTCTCGATTCCTAGCTTTTTTACATCAGTCATTGTTCACTGGACCACTTTGAATGTCAAAAAATTTCAACCGAGGTCAATTTTTCAAAATATTTCATTCCTGTTCTCATTACATAAGGCTTAATACAGTCTTCAAGTGGCTAGAAGAATGAACTAATTCTGTGTTAGTTAACAGTATTTCTTTGTTCACACTTCATCTTCAGCAAACTTATGCGAAAATGCTCAAGTTTTATGAGGTTAAAATTTATTTGCTTTCTGAGTATATCATTTGAAACAATTTCAAATTCGTTTCCGATATTTCAATCGTTTTTAAAATATAATCGTTATTACTATTTATTAATACATTCTGACGATTTCTATGCTCAAAATAGTTACTGCATTTATCAGTGCCTTTTTCAAAGTAGTGAAACAAAACAGTACTAGCTTGATATCACTACTGAGTATGTCTGATTACGCGACTGATATTTAATTAAAGAATGTCTTACTGTGGTTTTGCAAATACTCGGAAATTTATATTTCATACAGCATTTGCAGCAGAAATTGATAGCAGTAATTGAGTTTTAATGTTAAATTCCAATCTGATTCGCTAAATCCAACAATGAACAAGTTGGTGACTTCAATACGCATTCAAATCAATGAATTTGAATCAAAATTATATACAACTGTCTTCTGAGAATCCCACGCGACACGTAGAAATTTGCATTTTGCGTGCGCTGATTTAGTACGTCATATCGATCAACGCTGTATCATTTTTTAATTTTCATTTTGTAAACGTTTTTTCACTCAAAAGTAAGCAGTTGTTTGCTTGTAGTTTTTGAGAGACATCTTCTCATCAACGAAATGAATTTCTACCGAATTTATATGAGAACTTTTTTAATCAATGGAATGACTCAAACTTAGGTATAATCTAATCTAATTTAAATATTCATTTTCATACTTTTCAAAATTTTCATAACATTATATGATTCATAATTAACTCGTAGCATAACGATGTGTGACCACAATAGATGGAAAAATTTTTGCAGAAATGATTAGCAAGTAAGTTCTGGCCTTTGTGCCGTAGCAATAGTTGCAATATCTCTGAAAAGAAAGCGTCTCCAGAAACTCATTAAGAATTTTTGGTTACTATTCAGCTTCTACTAACCGAAAGGAACTTCTTCAATCATTTCGAAAGTAATCAAAAAAATAAGAAAAAGTTCGAACCTGTGTACTAAATTAAAATAACGAATTGGTCAACCATAATCAAAACAAAGACGATAAGAATGTGACAGCTACTTAATTTGAAAATGAGCATGTACTTTGCACCATAAATTCGTTGGGATAGAATTTTTTCATCAATTTCAATCATTGTAACAAACTGTATGTGGTTTCTGTAGCAGTTGGTTTACAGGGGCTGTGGTAATGTATAAATGAAGAAAATGGGAACTTTAAAAGATTTGACATCTGAAGCCGTGGAAGCTGATTCATATCTTCGGATTTATGAAGCTATCGAGGTGAGTTATCATCTTGAGACTTGGCCATTTTTACTAATTCTATTTTAGACTTTAACCTCTTACACATCATTTCTGATTGTATCAAATATAGACATGTATCATTCGATTACAGGATGCATCATGTAAAATCCAGATCCCCATTCGTCATCCGTGTGCTGTTAGAAAAGTAGTTTGGTCATCATTTGATTATATGAGTGGACCTGAATTAGGTTTTACATGGGAAGCAGTGACAGCCTCAGATGGGCCTACTCCAAGTGGCAAAAGCTCTGGTTCTGATGGCTCACGTGATAGTTCAAGTTTCACCTCATCCATTGCTAAAGCTGGTGGCAGTGTTGATGATTATGAAGAAATAGATGATGTATACAAGGTTAACAGATTTTATCATTTCCTGTTACAAGCATGTTCGGATGTCCTTAAAATCTTTCATTTAAAATACATTGAGTGAAACGGTAGTTCCAGAGTGAACTGTTGATAGAAGCAGTATCTGATTTGCACGATTGTGTCATGTGCATGGATACTCATTCTGAAGTTGATCTAATTTGCGGTCCTTGTAACGTTAGCTTTTGATTATCTTAATTCTGGATATTTTTTTCAAGTTTTTATATCAGCTCAAGAATATCTCATTATTTTTACTCTTTATATTGTATTTTGTTCACTAATCTTATTATTGTTCTCCATGTCCCTTTCAGCTCAAACTCGCGCGTGACATGCAAAAACTAAATATTCTTAGCCACTGTTCTGAGCCGTTGTATCTAGATGAATTTATGACTGATAGTCACTCAACTTGCGACGGCACTGCCACGTTACTAGACGAAGACAGTAGACAGGTAGAACATTTGGTATGTTTCTGCATATTTTATTTTGAGTTTAATCATTGTATAAAAAGTGGGATGAGTGTCAAGTGACTAAAAAAGTATCTTATATTGAGCTCCTATCGTAGTAGTGGCTTTAAAGCCAATTTGGTAAATATAGTACTCTGAATATGTTTTAAGACAAAATTGAGATTTGTGATGTCATGTCATGTAAGTTCGTACGTATGTTTCATAGCTATTAAAAATTTAAATTTTGAACATATTGTTAGAAGAACAGATCATGATTTTGAGAATTATCATTGTGTTTATTTCAGAGTACTTCGACGTCGATGTCCAAAAACCAAAATCTTGATATTGGTGGACGAAAAAACGATGTCGAAGGAAGCGGCCCACAAGTGTGTTTATTTTTCATGTATAACAGTGTACGATTGATGGGTGCTACTCTAGCGTGTGAAGAAACTTTATGATTTTGAATGTTTCATAATCATTAAGTATTTTAATTTTGAGCGTGTGATTTAGAAGAACGGATCATTATTTTTGTTTCAGAGTACTTTGATATTGATCAGACTCTATTGATTTTGAATTTTATGACTTTCAGTTTTGATTGCAGGTACCATCAAACTTAGTAGACCTCGAAATGAATTCGTTGATTACTCATCCTGAAGAAATATTAGCCTACAAAAGCTCAGAAGCTGCGCTAGATAGCTCGTTATCACCTAACGAGGCATTAATCGAGAGTGTTGATGGTATTTACAGTTTCTCCTGAATGCATTATATATTTTTCATATTTTAAATTTTTGCTTGAATTCAATCTGTCTCACAGGAATGACTATTTCGGCTGTTGACTCTGGAATAGCAGGCACAGTATCAGCTCATAGTGATTTATGTACAGCAGCTGTTGTTCATTCAGATGAAATGTTGAATCTTCATTTGGAAGAAAAGGTTATGATTTAATCGAGTAGTAATAGAAATGTTTGCGCAGGAACAAGTGCAAGTACCAAGTACCTTTTCAATTGTTTGTATTTGAAGAAAAAAGCGCTTAATTTGTAAATATGTAGATGAAATCAAAAGCCAGAGAGCGTGTCGGATTGATTTGGTGTCATTTAAAATCGTTATAGTATTTTGATTTAAAACAAATTAAAAGTTAGTTGAGATTCGCTTGTTTTTCATTAAATCAATAAGTAGGTTTGAAAATGGAGTTTAGTTTTTTCTCTTGAAATTTAAATAAAGAGGACAAATTTTATGTAGGCATTTGTTTTTATGGTCTTCAAACAAAGCACTAGGAAATTATTGGTCACCAAACCATGTATGTAGGTATATGAAAGATGCACTAAAAAAGATGAGAACATAATGTTTCACTATGGCGCAGATGTTGATTACGATGCACTTTGTGATTTAATTGTGGACAATGGAAGGAATAACCTTTCTGATGAGGAATATATCACGAAATTTGTTCTTGCTGAACAGATTTGCAGGTATGCTTAGAAATGTAAATATTATATCTACCACCTTTCAATTATATGTTTTGATTTAATCTTTCCGACAAGAATATTCATTCTTTCTCAATATATGGCAAAATAGAGTTTGTCTAGTACACCAATGCCGTCAAATCCTGTGATACACAAGTTGACACTGTTGCCGAAACGTCGGATTTTTGTTGGCTCATATTTATTCCAAATAAAAAGTGATGGTCGTACTGATCGTTCTATGTACGCGATCTCTCTTATTGGTGAATACTCGAAGTTAGTTTGCATTTAATTCTCTGGTGCATTCAAATAGGTTTCAATAGCATTTTCAAGAATTAAGTTTCATTTCAAATCTCATATTCCTGTAGATGGTTACTAAATAGAATTTGGAACAAATTTGCATTACAGGTGGGACTGGTACGTTGAGCGACAGAATATAATCGAAGAAGTATTCACCGATATTATACCGCGTTTGCGAACTTCATATTTGACGGCATGTTTTGGTTTAATTCAAGGTTTAAGCTCATTATTTTTTAGATTTTTTGTTGCATCGTAGACAGGGCTTACATATTTCTTACTCTCAGTAATAAGGAGGTTCACTAAATTTGCAGGAAACTATGGAAGACTTTATTTGTCGTACAACTAGAGAAATTTCGAAGTTCATGTTAATAATCGGTCTAGCCGAAGCCTATCCTTTGTTTTCGAAAAATATTCACGATATTCGGGTTTAGTTTACCTTTGGAATTGTTTTTCCTTCATATATATTTGATTACTTTCCTGTATTGCAGTTATTCTATTAAATATATTTTTTCGATTGGTGTAGAAAATATGATTTTACAAACATTTGTGCAAAATATCTCAATCTGTTAATATAGGAATGAAGATCTTAAAGTTTGTTTCAGCTTCAACAAACATATTTTGGTGATATAAAATTAAAAGATAATTTATTCTTAGCAAGAGCCATCACGGCTAATTATTTATCACAAGCGCGCTGTGTAATTGTTGGTGATAATAGAGAAGATGTTGTTAAGGTGAATTTTTTAGATAAGTAGCACGTGTAAAATTCAAAGTGTTTTATACTTTTAGTTTTTGCTTCTCTTTTTAGACGTGAATCTCTCATTTTTATTTAGTATTTAGATGATGCTGACATTGTATCTGTTTGTCGCACCTGAGTGGCGGTGGTTGTGTATCCAGCCATACAAACATGTTTATTGCCCTTATTTTCGTTTGCAGGCTATTACAAGAGTATTTTTTCGTATTCTTTTAATTTAGCTTAATTTATTATCTCCTTACTGGGACAGCAGAAAATATTTGTCCCATTAAATTTTCCATTTTAGGCTGAACTTAATAATGTAATGCACTGTGGTGTAGATTCACATTGGCCTATATCAATTGTTGACCTCGATCGTCAAATAGTATGTAACTCTGCGCCTTATTCAAAGCATCGTATTTTAAAGCTTTTGAAGCAAAAGAACGATGTGTTGCAAATACTAAAAGAAGCTGGTATTGATTCTAGTGCTTCAGCCATGTCAAAAATGTTAGTCATGTAGATAATCGTAGTACAGATGTTTTCTTCAATTTGCTGTGTTTTGGAAGTCTAACTGTTATTGCCTTTCTTTACCAAATATATTTTTGCAGTTTTGTAGAACTAGTATTTGTGATCCATAATAATTTATTAAGTGGTTCTAATTAAGTGATTTACGAAACTGCCATACGGACACTCGCGTTGTAGACTTTCTGGTTAGAATGGATTGGTTACCTATAGAAAAATCTATCCGTTTTGGATTTGTGAACCAATTTCGGTTAATGATCGAAAATTCTGCCAGAGCATTCATTGCTTTCGTTCAAGATATTAGGTCAGTTTTCAATATATCAAAATTTACTGAATCAATTTTCGTGCAAAAAAGATCTTAATAAATAGAGCCTTTGGAAGTGTTTTGAAAAAATATCTTTAGTGAACCCGATTGCTCTTATAAGCAGCATGCAACAAGCTCAAAATGGAATCTTTGGTTTGTTCGGAAGTCGCTTAATTTGACTAGCAATACGTCATTTCTATTAACTTTGTCCGAGGCCGAGCGGATCCTGCCAGAAATTTCTGATTTTATATATGAATCAAACGCTCTGTCGTAGATCGTTTCTACTGTGCACAAAGTATTAGCCGATATAAAGTGTATACGGGTAATTACACTATGGAGGGTTTACTGCTATTCAGGAACTCTTCTTATGATACATAACTTTTCTTTAGTTTCAAAATCATGTCTGTAAAATGCTTCCTTCTAATCCCAAGTATTGCATAAAGTGACATTTTGTCAGAGAATGAGTGTATTTAAACATTTTTTAATATTATTTCATTCTAACCATAGTTTACCCTAAATTAGTAATTGTTCGTATATTTGGAGAATGATGGGATATGATGGATAATTCTTTCTTCTGTAAATTAAATTTTGTATTGTGTATTGATAGAAGCCGATATCACTGCTACAACCCGAATTTTCGTTGTTCACTACTATTAATTGCGTTTTGTCCTTATTTTTACTTTTGTTTGGCATGCATGATATTTCAACCACAATGGTTGGTTGTGCTGACTATATAGTGTATATGTTTTATTTATATTTTAATAACTACAATGAGTGGTTGGTTGTGATAATTACATAAAATATGTATTAATTCATTACTTGAAAGGTACTAGAAGAGCTTGTTGTAAATATTGTTTATGAAAATAAACTAATATAAGGGTTTTAGTACTAGAAAAATCTGAAAGTCTTTTTTTAGTTCTCAATCATCTATCAATTGCAGAGTATGCAACGTGCTATCATACAACGCAAAGTCAACATTAATATAGGAATACCATATTATCTAATCTATGTTTTTCTCCTTGAAGTTTGTCATTGAGTTTTTTTAGTGGTGTGTGATTCATTTTCATCACAGCATTAGAAAATGAAATTCTGTGAATTGAAAAACTAGAATTCGTTTTTTAGAAGTGTAGTATTTTGTTAGTTAGAATGAACTTTTGCTTAGAAAAGTTACATTCAGTAATTGTTCCGGACAAATCATTTGTACAATACAATACGGTTAGCATCGTTTACTCACTTTGAGATTTTGATGCTGCACATCATGATTGTTATTGCCTAAGCTAGTATGGCCAGCACTGCGACGGTAATGTTGGTCGTATCCGCCAAGATTATCGCAAATTAGATCTCGGAAAGATTAGTTTATGGACAGTTTCTTCGTTATTTTACATAGTCTCTCTAGAGTATTCTTCGTCCAGAGAATAAAAGACAAAAATTAGGAGGCAGTTGATTACTTCCAGACAAGCTACGTCGCTGAAGCATTCTGACATTACTCTCAAACCAATTCGTAGTTAATGTGATATTGACATTGCAATTTTGTAATATTTTCTGCTTATACTTGTATTGCGTAATTGAACTTTGAGGTGGTCGGCTTGTATTTGTAATATGAATCACTTGCGCCGAAACATTACTTCATGGATCAATGCCAAATTTCCCAAACTTATTACTGAAGTTTCCGAACCAGACATCTCGATGGTTTGTGCATTCTGCTTGATTTCCTAAACTTATCTCTGAAATAATTTTTAAACGTTAACGTTGCAAATATTTCCATTCAGTTGCTTGCGAAATTAATTTCAAATTTGAACTTTTAAGAAATCGATATACTTTAGAGATGTTCCTTTTAAAAAATACGAGTAAATCAGTCAAGCAATAAAAATATCAGCGAGAAAGGATGCGGTAGCTACTGATAAAGGATTTAGCTAATCATAATCTGGAAGGGTTTATTCGGGAAATATTGTGGTTCCAGCTCTGAAAGGAATTAGCTCTTTGAACGGATCATTTTTCAGCGATCATTATGAAGTTCAAACATTCAGGCTTGGAAGTTGAATATTTCAAAGATTCCCTCTAATGAGTGAAAGTTATCTTAAGTTATTTCAATCTAAGACATATCTGAATTTGATTTCCGTTCGATTGACTGAAACAATAGCATTACTGAATACCTTCTTTTTAATTCATATCATAAATTTTCAGAAAATCTGACCACATTTTTCAGTATGCTTATTCATAGCTGTTAAAATACAATGCAAAGGAGTAAATAGCTGTTGCAGTTGGAAATCGTTATTCATTTAACTTGACATTGTATATGTGCTAACTAAGAACGACTCAAGATATTAGAACAAAAAACTCAACTGGAGGAATGCATTATAAGGAACAGACTCAATTTGTTGTATGATTCTTGTTTGCGTGGTCATTTATTAAGTTTTTGCCAGGAACTTCCAAAAAAGATTGGAATACTGCTGGTAAACACCGGTACACCTTCCAACTATAGTTACTGGTCGATGAGAAGGTATTTAAAAGAATTCCTTAGTGATCCTCGGATGATCGAAATCCCGCGCATCCTCTGGTGGCCTATCTTGCACTGGTTCATCTTGGCTATCCGTCCATTTAGTGCAGGCAAATGCTATAAGTATCTTAATATTAATGCTTATTTGTTTTTTACGGAACTAAACTGACTCACTGAATTTGATTCATGCTTTGTTCCATTAGTTCTTATTCTCTTTATTGTTTTCTGCTTCATATGAATTCCAAATGAAACCTGAATACAAGTAAAGAATGCTTTTAGATCGATTTGGAATATGACTGTGGATGAATCTCCCTTACGTACTGTGACTCGTAGTCAGGCAATAAAATTGGCTGACCGTTTACGTCAACAACCGGTCAAGTATTATTATATTTTTGTGCTTAAGTGAAACTACCATAACTCTCATTGCGAATGACTATTAGGAAGTGACAGTAAATGATTACGTGGTATAATGTGAATTGTAAGAGAAAAAATATGAAGCAAAAAAAATTGTTGATTGTTTGATGACTATATTAGGTTGATAATAGGTAAAGTAGTACAATTGTCTTAAATCTTATCAGTCATGTATGATAAAATCTTCTTAAATAACCGAAATCCACATTATTTGTGTTGGAACAAAGTATGGTTTGTAATAGTTTTCGTTAAGGTTGTAGTTGAATGGGCATTTCGCTATGGTGAGCCATCCATTGCCTCACGGATTCAGAAGTTAGAACAGCAAGGCATATATTTTTTGTGTATTTTCAGTTAATTGTTGGGGTCGTTGAAAAGGAAACAGTCATTATAAATGTTATTTCATCTAAATAGAACGGAAATTATCAAGTTGCTTCTTGATCTCTCGTAAAATATTTCCCATGACGAAAAATATTTCTTATTTCACTTCAAAACACGTATATTATGTAAAAAGCTGATTTTTTTTTCAGTGGTTCAAAAATGTTAAACTGAAGATTGTAAAGAAAGTATACATTTTATATTTTAATTATGAAGAAGAAAAATTTCAGGATGTGATAAGCTTGTGCTCTTCCCGCTCTTCCCACATTTTTCAGCCGCTACTAGTGCATCAGTTTTCGATGAGGTGGAAAGTTTTGCTCAATTACTTATTAAGAGTTACAACATCAAACTAGGCATATTATTACCAGCTAACTTCTGAATAATTTTTCTTAAGATCTGAGAATTTTTGCAATTTCCTTCAAAAAATTAATCCATTATTTCTTTTTTATTATTTCTAATATTGTTATTACTTTTTTATATGCTTATTTTTTTGTTACTTCACAGCAAATCTTTTTTTTATATTGTACCTTTGATTTCTGAATCTTAAAAGTCATACTTTATCGTTTCTGCAAAAAATCTTCGATAGTAATGGCTATTTTAATAGTAACATTATTTTAAAATTTCGCAGCATATTTAGACATGTCGTCATTTGATGAAACAACGACGTCAGATGGCATTATCAGTTGTGCCAGCGTTTTATGACAATGATTTATACGTGAAGTCAGTCATCAAGCAACTTAATAATAATTTGTATAAATTTCGGGCATCACCTCAGGTAATTATTGTGTCATATCATGGAATACCGCTAGCATATCAATCAAAGGGAGATCCATACGGATTTCAGTGCAAATATACGACGGCTCTTATACGGTTCGTTGTTTATCAAAAGTTCTGTCGCAACTAAACCATACCAATTTTAAATTTGACTGAGTTTAAAAAAAATTTCAGCAAATATTGTGAAGTAATAAACTGTGATTTTCTGACAACGTTCCAATCTCGATTTGGACCAGCTGAATGGTTAAAGCCTTATACTGAAGAAACTGTTGTGCAACTCGCCAAGTAAGCTCCCCGACTATTCATAAATTTTCTATTATTCTACCAACTTTGAGATGTAGTTCTTTGTTGATCATGCTCCAAATCGTTTATGAGTATAAACATCACTGTGGTTAAATACTGAAAGAATTCATATACAACTGATCTGTTTTTTTGTCAAAAATATTACTTCAAATTTGTAGAAATGGAGTAAAACGAATTCTTGTAATTGCACCAGGTTTCCTTGCTGATTGTCTTGAAACAGTGGATGAGCTTGAAGTTGAGCTTGCGCATTCTTTCCGGTAGTTTTTGATTTAACTGTAGACGTTTCACCCAAATTGATCACATTGACTGTGTCATTATTTTCAAACATCTTTTTAACACTGTATGATGACTTTAATTTTTTTTCAGTAATTATGGTGGAGAAGAGTTCGTGTATGTGCCATGTTTAAATGATAGTATTGAAGGAGTTGATGTGTTGGAAGCACTTGCACTAAAGCATATTCAGTGCTTCCTTTAAATTTTCAATGCTGAACACTTTGCGTTAAGTGTATTATAGTTCTCAAAAATTTAATGTTGACTTTGTGATAAGTGATAGAAGCTTGTGAAGTTAGTTTCAGCTTCATCTCACTTAAATATATGTATTTATTCTGGTCGCTGGGATTTTTTTAATAAATAAAATGAATTTTCTGACCATTATTTTTATAGTCCATAAAAGTTACATTTTTTGATATCGTTATTGTCAGTACCTTTTTTAAGTCAAGCATGTGCTTCATAAATTTGTGGCAGAGAATGCTGTGAATTATTTAGTAAAAAAACTTACTAAATTTGCAAACTGCAGTTTTTTTCTTATTTTATTTTTATCATAAATTTATTTAGCCAATTTCAAGTGAGGTGATAAAGAAATTATGGATTCTGCTGGGAAATTCAATTGATGTGAAAATGCAGTTGTCATTGTAAAGAATCAGTTCTGAAGAAATAATTCTTCCAAATAATTACTGTAAGCTGCATGTAGTAAAAGGTAAATCCAGCAAGGAGCAAAATTTGCGCCCCAAAATCAGAATTAGGATTATATAAGATATCTTCAGTGAATTTTAAATTGAAGACAAAATAATGAGTGAAATAATCAGAAATCACATCCAGGAATGTGCTGTGCTTAAACTATCTTCGATTTTCACAAGAATTCATGAGTGATTGGGAAGGCAATCTATTGGGCAAGGTGTTAATAAGGTGTGTACATATAAGGTGCGTGAATATATCTGTGCAATCATTTTAATAACTTAAAAAGTGAAAAAGTTTTTAGTACGGCTTGTACTTTCATTGTGTTGGCGTTAGTATCAGTTTAATGCAGTAATAATTCCTGCACAAATAATGGCTGTACATGTTATCGCATTAAATCACTGTACTTCTTAAATAGAGCACGAAATCAATAATCTTTTTAATACGTGATTTTTACGTTACAGCAATTTCCGATTTGTATTTTATTAATAATTTTGTGAAATTTAGATGGCGAAGTGATGGTTTACGACATGTTTTTGAGAGACCATAAAATAGTGAAATAATTGCAATAATATTTTAAGAGATAAGAAAGATACTTATTTGAAAATAAAAATATTTTCATATCAACTTAAGGCGCGCAGAGCGAGAAACTGTAGAAATTCCTGTTTACTTCCTGTAAATACTTGCACTAATTCGGTATCTTTTTTCGTATGCAGTTAAGCTGTAAGTAAAATAGTCTTTAGAATAAAGCAGTTGCAAATAACATGTGCTGAAGATGACTTGCTGAGATTGACATCTCGTAAATAACTTTTTAAATTACATGGATAGTACATACTTCGGTGAAGATTGACAATTGTTTTAAAATAGTGAGAAGGAGAATTAGGAAGTTATTATTTGTTTTGATGAACTGAACTGGTAATAACATCAAGTGAACAGCCAAACAGAAATGCCTCTTAGAAAGGTCAAGAGATTTTACAACCAGCGACCTCATCACAAGACTTCATAGAAAAACTGAGTAATAAATTACTTTACCTCATGTAATTTCTTTATATTTAATTTACTTCCACTTAATATACTACTGATTGAATCAAAATATTTTCTTAGCAGTTTTGCGCTTGAACGTTTAAATTAATTTTGTTGCAATAAGTAACACTATTTGTATTCTTCAAACAAATCCATCACAAATAAATGACGCAATAATCAAAAATAAAGTGAGTTTTATGGAATGTACGACTCGATGTGCTACTGTATTTATTTCAGCAGCTGTTCTAATGGTCACCACATCCGTAGTCTTCTTTCGTCTTATTATGTCTCTAACGAATCATTGCTTCTCTTTAAATACTTTGCTAAAAATCCCTATAAGCTACTATTCACCACAATACGAAGTGATTTTTTTCAAAGAATAAAATAAAAATGGAAATTTAATTATTTTTCTGGTATTGTTTGTGGAAACTGTACAGACGTAATTTTGCACTTCTATCCTCATTTCAGATATAAAAGTAGCTGAAATATACAATAATAAATATTTATGTATTATTAATAGTAGGAATGAAATTAGTAAACTCAGCGAATTAAATTATTATTACAATAACGAATAATGCCAAAATAATGGAGGATTAAATGCGACATTATCACCAAATTTTCTGATTGACTTTATTAATCTCCCAGCAAATTATTAAAAACTGATATGTTAATAATAATATTATTGAAGTCATGCTCAGATAAGAAGACTTGAGAGATAATATGGCACTTCTCAAAGTACAATATGCAAATTTTTATGCCTATTCATAAGAGTTTCAACTTTGCATATAATATTGAAAATCGTAAAGTAATTAAGGCAGTAATGTATTTCCAAGTAAGTTACTTTTTCACCGCCTTCTCTCGTATTCTTTTTCGTTAGGACTATATAATTGTTTGTAAAGTGGACAGCAAAAGCAACACCAGCAAGACAGAAAAATAAGCACTGCAAATTATATAAAAAATTATAGTCCGAAATTTCAGTACGAACTTTTAACACAGTAAGTTGTAAGGTTATGAAGATTTGAGCAAAAAGAAGTAATCAGTAAACCTTGTTCATACTAGTTGATATTAGCAGCAGCAATTTCAGGCAATATTTATTTTACAATTGAAGTTCTTGGCTAAGTTTCGCCTAAACAACTAATCAGAAAAGTGAAAGATAAGTTGATAAATTGAAACAGCATTGCTAGAAGTAATCTTGAGGAAGAAAACAAAATTCATCATTTTTTAGTGTACTAAATAACCACTAGAAATATCAATCTTGAATTCAAAATTCGTTCATAATTCAGCACATAATTTTGTTAATTCAGTTTTTACCAAAGTTTTGCTGATAAATTTTAGGAAATTGTTAAAGTTTTTAAACTTACGAGCAATCGAAACAACTGAAGCAATAATGATAGCAATGAGTGCGCCAGTTGGAATCGCAAATGGACAACAAGACGGTTTCCAAGAGCCAAAGTAAGGCCATGTACAGCACCAATTATAGTTATCCCAATCTGTTGGTTGTGGACAGTACGCTAAATATCCTAAAATTTCACTAATGCTTAATACAATAATTAGCAAGAATAAAAACTAAAGTAATGAGGTAACAGAATGCTGCAAAAAAGTAATCCAAATATACAGTAGATTAAGTGAGTACAGTAAACATAATATACACGACCTAAATGAAAAAACTGATTTTACCATATCCTGAAGGACACCACCATATTTTTCTGTTACCAAGACGTCCTTCGATATAATGCGATATTGGATTATGCAGTTGAGTTGCTACCATATCAACTGCAATAGAAATGTCTACCAGCAGTCTACGAGTAACTTGCTACATAAATAAATATATTTATACAATAAGTTATTATTAAAACCTTTTCACATTAACAAAATTCTATCTCCTTATTTAACTTAATTTTTACAATAATTAGATTACTTCTGAATTAATGTGTGCAAGCCAGGGATCATCCATCTAAAATTTTTGAAAAAATTTTGTCTCCAAAAATTTTGATAATTTCACTTAAATGGCTTATTTCATTTGGAATAAAGTCTGTAACTTTTCGTTATTGAATTATTTGAAATTAAAAAAAAAATGGAATTTCCATCTGTTACCGACAAGGACGTACATAATATAACGAGCAGATAGCAAGGCCAAACACTGGTTGACCTGATCAACATATTCTCTTCAGAAATTTCGCGCTATATCCAACCAAAAACGGATTCTGCAAAAACATATAAATTATCTTTGAAAACTGATTTACTAAGATCTAAACTTTTGACAGTAATAAGATAAGCAAAAGAAAAACTATGCTTGGAGAGAAATATGATTAGCACGAAGTTCAGCAGCGATTACGTTGAAAAATTTAAAATTAAAAAAAATAGCGTAAACATTTTTAAAAATTTTAAAGACAGTAAATAAATGCAACGTTTGACAATTTTTGAGATACAATAAAGCTGAAAGTTTCAAAAATTCTTGTAATTTTCGAGGAAAATTATGCCAAAATGTAAATTACACAAATGAATGCAAGTTGTTTGCTTTGATTCTTGTATGATTCATTCCTAATGCAATAAAAAGTAGTGAAATTATAGAATGATTTTTGCTTATCACAGATTAATCAATATTCGATTCAGGAAATTTTAAATTTAATTGGTCATAAAGTAAATATTAAAAAATATAATTTAGATTTTGAATGAGTACAATTTAAGAAAATGACACAATTATCATCAAAACAGAGAAAACGTAGAAAGGTAGAAAAAATTCTATCAGATAATGATCAACGGCGTTATCAGTGATAAGCTACCGACAAACACAATCCCTCATGCCAATTTGTCAACTCTATGCATTATCACTCTGCCAAATATTTCATACCATTACTATCACTACTTTTTATCAATATATTATCATCGGAACAGTCACTTAAATATTAATATTATTATTATTATTATTATTACTATTATTATTATTATTATCACTGTGAAATAATAGAGTTGATTACTATCGAAACTAGTGTAATGAATAATTGCAATGATAATATTATTATAATAAAAAATATTATTATTGACGCTAATCAATATCCATTTGCTTTTTCTCATTTCCAATTAGACATTATATTAGCATCTTTTGATTTTTGCTCTAATTTCGCTCTTTTTTGTTCCAAAATCAAATTATTTTATTAATACTTAAAGTAAAATGGAATACTGAGACAGGAATAGAATAATTTTTTCGAAGGTTTCGATGAAAAGAAATATTTCTTTACTGGTAAATTACCTTTTGCTTCTTCATACTTCTATCAACACCCTTACTCAATACTTTACTTTAATAGATAGCTAGTATTTTGTTGAATTTACTGCTAAAAAATACTTGAGAGATGCTTCAACCAATAATAATTAAAGATAATCAATAATTAACACTAGTTATAATTCAGAAACATTGATACAATAATGAGTACAAAAGCTCATAATGTCAACAGTGTTACTGATAATTACCAAACTTGACTAATAATAGTGATACTATAGATAGTTATCTATAGTATCACTATTATTATCTTTAATTATTATCTTTAATTATTATTAT